CCGGACGGGCGGCAGCGGGGGAGGGGCCCAGCGGAGGTTTGCTGCCGCGGCCCGCAACGCTGCCCTGCAGCCCTTCATGGGCCAAATATAAATTCTGGGGACTACGGAAGGAAGGAGCCAACCACCGCTAGAGCCGGCCTGGCTGCTCTGGGCCACGGTGGCTTCGTCGCAGCCCTCGGCACTCACCGCATGGCCAGTCTCGTCCTGCTCACGGTGGTGAGGACCGCTGACCCAGCACAGGCCACGGCCAAGGGTGGCTGGAGCAGAATGGTCGCAGGCTCCGACCTGCTTTGTACGCCTTTGTGAAGCCAGCTGTTAAACAGAGCGAGCGCAAGGTGAAAAAACATGATTTAATCACTGCGACTTGATACAAGTGTCAAAAGAAGTCTGAGGGCGTATACTCCTGGCAAGTGTCTTCATGTGGAGGGTTTCACTGTTACCCAAAACTTGTGCTCCCAGGCTTGCGCACAGACTGAATGGCACTGTTGCATCCTCTCTGCGGCTCCCTTAACAAGTGATGGCTACAGGTAGCAGCAAAGCAATCCGGGAAGGCACCCACTGTGTCCCATCAGAGGAAAATGAGAGGAAGCCGCTTTCAAAACAAAACTAATAGGGAAATAGGAGTGTGCTGCCTTCAGGATTGCAGCCGAAAGAGTGCTTCTAGAAGATGCATTGTAATCTGTTACTTCCCCCCCTTTCCAAGAGCTGCATGGGCATAGTGCATTCTGCTCCAGCACTCGATGAGTAGATTCAGACTAGATATAAGGAAGAAATTTTCCACAACAAGGGTGGTGAACCACTGGTACAGGTTGCCCAGAGAGGTGGTAGATGCCCCATCCCTGGAAACCTTCAAGGTCAGGTTGCATGGGGCTCTGAGCAACCTGATCTGGTTGAAGGTGTCCCTGCTCATCATAGGGGGCTTGGACTAGATGACCTTTAGAGGTCCCTTCCAACGCAAACTATTCTATGATTTCTATGACTCGGGATTCACCTCAACTAACTTCTGCACTCTAAAAGCCATTCACGCTGTTGAAAGTGTTCTGCTGACAGGCATCGCCACACAGCAACTCATCCCATCTTCCGATGGGCATTTGAGATCCACTCTGGTGGCACCCACTCTCTCAGGAACGAACCTGATCCTCTAACTTTGGGGGAGACAAGAGACTTTAGCACTCCTTTTCTGATCTACAGCAGCCTTGTCTACTGCTCCTTTCCAAGGCCGGAGTCCTAACAAATTTGGGCTCCAAACTTCCATCCTTGTATCCCAAAACAATTATGGAGAGGCAAAGATTGAGAAAGCACTGCAGTATTTGCTGAAGAGGGCAAAAACCAGTGATTACTCACAGTGCCCACAGGTGCCAAATTGCACCAAACCAATGAGGACTTAGGGCAGGGAGGAGTTTTGGCAGTCAGTGGGGCGTGCAGGCTGCTGGCCTGACCTAATGTCCTAAATACCTTGTCTTCCTATCAGTTAATATCACCTCACGTGACACAGTTGGGATTCACAGCCCAAATCTTATGGGAGTCACAGGAACAAATCTGGATAACCAGAATATGAAGTTGGCTTTATGGGTTAGTTTACAAAGAATCCTCAGAAAATGCTCATCTGAGAAGCACAAACAAGCAATCAAGGCTAGTGCACCTTGTAGAGTGGAAGAAAAGGGCAAACGGTGGAAATGGCAAGGGTCACTCCACAGGAAATATAGATTTATTATGTTACATTTCTTATAAATATTTCATTCATTTCCAAAATAACAAAAATAAAAGCAACAGAACCATTTCAAGATGAAAGTTGAGTTTGCCTTAGAAACAACAGCTATTAGAAATACACTTTTTTAGGGCAAAACCAATACACCATATGAAAACAAAGGGCAATTTAAATAAAGGACATAATAATATTGTACTTAAAGCTATATTGATATCCACAAGGAAGAAGAAATGTTGTAGTGTGTAGAACAGGTGTAGGACATGCTTTGTAGAGCTGTTGTTTTGTTAGGTACTAAAGGAAGAACATGATGCTTTTGTGCACTTTAACAAAAAATACCCTAGAGCATTCTTCCCCACCTCTGTCCGTCTGTGCAATGTTTACCATCTTCAATAGTAGAAGCAGCCAAATGCAGCTACCACACAAAAAAGGCTGTCCTGGGGAAAACAGAGAAAGGCTCCATGTTAGTAAAGACAAGCTCTTTGCTAGCCTAGCTGAAAAGGCTAACCTAAGGGAATATTTACACCAGAGCATAACCTTATATTGCAATATATTACAATTTTCTGTCTTTTAGTTAGTTTCTTATTCTCCTCACTTGTGGTATAACCCAGGTCAGTGTGTCTGAATGACAGAAATGCCTCAATTTATTCTATGCACACACCCACAGGTATCTAGGTGTCAGTTTAAAATAAAAGAACAATAAAATTATAATTAAAAGAAAACCTTGACTTTTGCCCAGTCCTGGATTCCAGCCATACCCCATGACAGCAGTTCAGCAAAGCATGTATGACAAGACTTGATCTCTTGTGCCTGCTCTCCCCACCTGTAAAATGGTGTGACTGGAACAACTTCCATATAGTACTGCATGACCTACTCAGGAAATAAGTTTTACTATGTTGGATATTATATTTAAGTATGTTTTGTGAATAAGGACATAAATCATATTGTTTCAATAGAGTCTTGGTACCTTCCTTCTAGTGGTTGTTCTTTTTTTCTGCCCTATATTTAAGGTCACTCTGCCTCTCATACAAAAGCAAGTAGCTTTACACTTTCCCATGGTAAGACAGCTGATACTTACATTCATGAACACATCATGAGCATAGCTGTCAGTGTCAGCATCCCAGAAACATCGCGCAGCCATACTAAACAAAGGAGACACAGCAGACCCATTACCCACAGAGTTCATGTTTAAGGATCTAAGCGATCACAAATACTTTCCTTGAAAAGCAAGCTGAGCTTCCACTAAAGATAAAGGAAATGGGAAGCCTTCTCCTGAATCTTGAGCCTAGATCTCCACTGCTGAATTCCACCACATGCGGTAACCCCCTCTGTATGTGGATCAAGCTCCATCTTCAAATTCATCAGCTACCAACACTTGAAGGCTTGAAACCTCATTGCTATGCTGCTTAAGAATCTTTGACTTCTGGCCTATGTGTATCAGTGGCTAATTTAGCTTATTTGTTCTTGTCCTTCACCTCCTGCACCCTTGTGGTACGTACTCCCAACTTATTTATAGGGAGCTATCGTATTCCTTGGCAGATGCCTTAGCAGACCATTAGCTAAGCTCTCCTAGTCCTTTCGCATCTATACTCTCTGTTCCCCAACCATCCTGCTGGCCTTTTTCTACAACTGCTTCAGTCCAAACCTTACCTTGAAGACAAGCAACCAGATTGTAACAGGATATTATGGACGAGACCTTGCTGCTGCCTTGTCTAATGTCATTTACACACTGACTTTCTCTGCTGCAAATGCCCAGCTCCCAGCCTGCCCTGGTCAGTCTCAGCTGATGGGATCCCTGTTTGTGGCACAGCGTGCTGTTTCTAGTTCCTACATGTGTGATTTATTGTTATAAGATTGTTGAATTTCATCCTTTTTTTCTATTACCTTAGCCCTCAGAGTTATTTTTTCAGTCCAATATTCCACTCTGCCTCTGGAATACCCTGGTTACCCAGTATTTTAAATTAAGGATGTTAGTGATCCTGCTTCAGTCTTGCCTCCTGCCTACTGCAAACCAGAGAATTTTCCCAATTGCTCTGTCAGTCTGTGTTGCTGGGCTTCACGTTTCAAATCAGACCACCTTGTTGAACTGTTCACCCTGGTACGGTGCTTCTGGAGCAGTCTTCCTGACAAGACCCTGAGCAGCAGGTACAGATATTCCTTCCTGACCTCCAGAACATTGAGGCAGCAGATCTATTACAGCTCTGCTGCACTTATCTTCTGCTGGAGTACCAGGCACAATAATAAAGATAAGCCCAGCAGATAAAGCACATAAATCTTGTGGGCTGTTGTCTTTTGTCTTCTCCCTACCCACTAGCAATGGAAAGCTACAGCCCACTACTGCAGCCAAGAGGAATTCTTTTGTCTGATTATAGGCATCTGGAGCTAGATTGCAAATGCTCAGCACCTACAGTCTAGGCTTGATTCCCATGACAGTATTGCATGGGAATTATGGAAATTTAAACTTCTGAAAAATGCTCACCTGAGGGGATTAAATGCAAATGAAGTATTTCTGGAAATCTGGCCTTAGACAGAAGTGAGCTACTATGGCTCTTTTGCTCCAGCAGGGCCTTGAGAATGGGCTGGGTGTGTGCTCTAGTTCATGGTGAATACAAAATGCCTTTCTGCAACGCTCCTCACAAATGCTTTTCAGCATTTCAGCTTGCTAAGAACCACAATATAGCCAATTACCACCAGGTAATTCAATCAGCCACAATCCAAGCCTTCACTTGCCACTTAAAGAGGAAAAAATAGTGCTTTACACTTCATCATCTGCCGAGAGATCTTTGTACCTCGGAAAGTTGGAAGCAGCTTCCAAAGAAAAAAACCCACAACAAAAAACCAAATCACCCAAACCCAACAAAAATTATAGAAATACAATTAGAAGATGCAAAACTTACTTCACTCCTTCTCCTCTCTGCTCTCCAATCACAACCTGTACCACCATTTTGTATCTGTCAAATCCCTCCTCTGGAGAGAGAGGAAAAAATAATAGTGCAAGCAACAACTTGTTCAAAATATGAGCCCAAAACAGGCCACAAAAAGCTAAAGATTTCTTGTTATAAAGCAAGTGTCCTACACAAGTCCATGCAATTGGCAAAGTGGACTGACTGCCCTGTGACTTCATTTTCCGAGGTACAGAGTACCATGGTCGTCTTGGAGTTGAAATAGTGAACAGAGTATTTGGCATCTGTCAAAAGATGCATCTAAGGTAGAAGACACTCCTGAACAGCCACATTATATGTCAGCATTCTACTTTGACAATTTGAAGAACTGAACACAGGTAAAGAATGTAAATAAGGATGCTGGTGGACAAAATCCAATTTGGAAAAAAAAAAATTGGCTTATTTAAAAATTGTTCTGATGCAAAGGTATTGTAGAGATTCTTCTGCCACACAGGGCTTTCCTTGGCTTCTGAGCTGGGATAAAAAGCCATACAATAGAATAGCGTCTATATTACGTGTCTGCAAAGATATGCAGTTGTTTTACAATAGTAAAGAAATACCTTTGGGGCATAGGCCAGATCCAGTCAGGCCATGGCAATGTTCCAGAAGCCAAATCAGAACAACCATGTTTAAAATAAAATACAGATCCTAATGCCTGTCTTCAACAAAGCAGTGTCCTGGGAAGATTCTGGTGCACCGCTTCCACTGAAGGATTGAACATAACAGGCTGGGTATGGTAATATCCACCATGTCAATACTTTTCAGAGATGCCAGCTGATAAAACGGCCAGTCTTGCTTCAGGCTACTGCGAGTGTGTTTACAGATTACTGAAGCTAAGCCCTGTGCATATTAGCTTGGCATCAACACGTGCTGGGACTACAGCTGCTGCTGGTTTTAAAGCAGATGCATAACTCTTGGAGAACCATAAACCCCCGGTTCCTGCCGAGGGTGACGGTATGTCTGTGTCACCATGCCAGGCCAGCCCGGCAGATGGAGCACCAGCCTGTCTCCAGGGAGAGGGGAAAAAAAAAAGTGGCCATGCCAACTCCCATCTTGTTCTAGCACTGAACACAGGAAACACCTGCTGGAGCCTGAAGTCCAGTTCTTGCACTCAAAAATGTTGGAGGTCATCCTGCACAGTGCCACCACAACCTTTTTCCAGTGCTGTAAGGCTGTAGTCACACCCCTCCTTGGCTGATTGTGCTCCTAACTCTCTCCCCCTCCGCTGCTCCCACTGAGCAGTGTTCTGACTTCCCTGCTATTCCACTCTGACCCAGCTCTGATGTAACTTGAAAAGCAGGAATAGTTCTGTTTATTCAAGCAAGAAGCAATGAAGCATCACTTCTTCCTTCTCTCTAATTGCAGCTTCTTGCCCCCTGCAGCCCCTCCAAGGCTGACATCCCACACCAGTCAGTCTATACAAAATCAAATCTTGTCTGCTTGAAATAGGTTTCTAGTTCTGCAGGCAAGGAACATACGTATATAGGACAGATTGTTTCATAACAGCAGACTCGAGTCAGTCAATGGGGAAGGAATAGGTTTCAAAAGGAGAAAAGAGGGATTTTGTCAGAGGCAGATGACACAGTAAGAAAAGAAATTACTTCCCCAGCAAGCCTCCTTACCTTTCAGTCTGTCTTTTATTGTCTCTGATAAAGACTTTGTAAGCTGAGGCATTTCTTCTGGGATGTACTGTACATTGGTCAGCTTCTCCTTCAGTATTGCATGGATGCATTCTTTTACTGTGGACGATTTAAATCTATCAGGGCAAAAAGACAGCAACAGAAGGCCCAGAAAGTTCACACAATATGTAGAAATGTACATAGTCCCAGGCAGGAAAATTTAGCTTTCACATATTAAAGAAAACAATGAATTAACACGGGGAAAAAAAAAAGTCCAGCTCAGATGGAGATACTTAACCAGCCTTGCCAACAGCCAGAGGCCAAACACCCATAAACACAGGCGCAAAACCAGCTCCGTCAGCAGTCGCCCCTCCAGCAGTGTCCCCTGCCTGTGCTCCTACATCTCATGTCAAAGTTAGTCCGGGTGTCCAGTGTCCCCCCAGTCTCCAAATCCCCAGAGCTCCCCCATTCCCAACACCCCCACCCT